ATACTCTGCCTCCTTAACTCAAACTTATTTTCCTGGGGTTGTATGGCTACCTTGCAAACCAAGGGAAAAAACATAGCTAATTTAAGGAGACATCTTTTTGATTTCAGCTTTGGAGTATAGAGCATCTCTGTGTATTTACCTATAAGGTTTATATTATGTGAAAAGTAGAGCCTTTGTGGCATCGTTGTCTGGTTTTTTTATTTTTTGTTTTTGAAAGTTAGCCTATTTTAGTGTAACAATAGAACACAATTTTTGACAATCTGAAGCTTCTTTGCCAAACTAGTAATATGGCTCATTAGAACTTGGCTGTGTTTAGAAACACATTGCATACATTGCCTTCTTCCCCCACCCCCAAATTATAGATTGTAGAACATATTGCTGTATCATGCATTATTAAACATTTTTACAGATATTTAATAACACATTAAAGTTTCAAAGTGCTGCTGGTTTTACAGACCACCTTATAGGATTCGCAGAACTAACCAGCTCCTTGTATATTTAGAAACCAATCCATGCAGGTTTTCACTCTTATTTGTTAACATAATCTTCCTAACATTATATACCGGTACTCTTTCAAAGGCAAACCTGGAAGAAAATGCAGAAAAGAAACAACTCCAGATAGGAAAAATGGAAACCTCACTGAAAGCTCTATCAACTGAGTTCCTTAAGGTTTGTTTAAAGATAGCATTCCTTTTTTTATGATTATGGTTTGATTTCATCTGATCATCATTTAGTATTCTGTGATATTGTTTCCAGGCCAATGAGATAATAAAGAAATTGCAAGGAGATGTAAAAACGCTAATGAGTAAACTGAAATTGAAAAACACAGTAACAGTTCAGCAAGAAAAGCTCTTGGCTGAAAAGGAAGAAAAACTACAGAAAGAACAAAAGGATTTACAGGAACTGGAAAGTTCTCTTCGAGAAAAAGAACAAGAGGTAACTCGAGAGTCTTGTTTCTAAATAGTAAATGCTTAAACAAATACTAAGATTTCCTTTTGTCAGAAATAATATTTTCTTTTTCCCCCATAAACCCACTCTTCTCTGGAATGAAGCAAAGATTTCCTCAGTTTTAACTCATTTCTTGGTCACCTTACGTCCTTGTAAGTTTCTTGAGAAAAAATGGTTTCTTAGCAAAATGATTTACTATTATTAAGGAATTATTTTCCTATTTCCCAATCTTATTTACTGTCCTGGATTTTCCTAGTGGTATCCCATCCAGGCATTAACCACACTCGAACCTTGTTTTCCGTTTTTTTTTAGGATCAAATAATGTTAATTAGATGCTACCAGTTGCTTTGACATATTCTGAAGTATTTTTGTTTTATGGTCTTTAAAATAAAAATGCCCATAGATTTATATACATTTATTTATTTAGATTTCAAAAACAACTTATACGGCGATGATTATTTAGGAAAAATGTCTTCTGACGTTAATTTTGAAATATTGTTTTGCTACTGGGGATAAAAAAATATTTCAGATAAGTAATAATATGAAAACATTTCAGATATGCAAATTGCAGGAACAGTTAGAGGCTACAGTACAAAAACTGGAAGAAAGCAAACAACTTCTCAAAACAAATGAAAATGGTATGTGACTTTCTTGCATTAACTACTGTCTAATACTTTCAGCAGTGTATATTTTAGTATATAGAATTTATTAGAAGATATAGTCTTAGTTTGGGCTAGGCCAGGGGTAGGCATTTTCTCTGTTATCTATTTGTTTAGGCAATAATTGTGAATGTTGGATTTAAGATAAAAGATGAATAGTTCTTTTTTAAATATTTGAAGAATTTCTGAGGGATATTGAAGAATGATTCAGAGGAATGCCAGTCTTATTTTCCCTCCTTATAAATATTCATTTGTTTTGTCTGTATTAATGCAAACCTGTGCATTTATTTTGTTCCCCTTGTAATGAATAACTTACAATGATACATAGAAGTTCCAGCTTGTCACATAGGATTTATCAGTTCCTAATCGTATTCAAACTAAGATTGCAATTCTATAAATTTGTGTTTGGGACTGAACCTCTATAACTCCGTTCTTAATATAAATGCACTGGTTTAACTTTGAAAGCGTAATCTGTCCAGCCGCATTCAGAATTTAATTTTGATTTTGTTTTAAAATTAAAAATATTTGGGATGAAAAGTGAAGTGCTTTTTTTCTCTGCAGTCATCACATGGCTGAATAAACAATTGAACGAAATTCAGCTGACAAGGAAGCAAGAAATGCTAGGGACGTCTACTTCTAGCAACACTGTTTCAAGAACTGGCAGCTCTCCTCATAGTATGGTAATAGTAAAATTCTTGTGTATTCATCTTTGATACTGACCACGTTGCTGTCTTTCATAGTTTAATTTCTAAGTAACAAGAGAAAATTCAATGGGAGTGCACAATTTGCACAAATTCTTCAGAAATGGATGGGTTGCGGGGCTTAGTTGGAATTGAGCTATTTTCCTTTGTCCTGGTAAAAATATGAGGCTTGAGATTAGCATATTTCCCCCCATTTGCTTCCTTTACCATCCTGTCAGTAGATGGTAAACTTCTAGGTAGGGTCAGAGAGGAGAGCAAATACTTCAGCCTGGGATTCAAGCCAAGTATTGACAGAAGCAGAGGATCTTAGCTTCAAGCAAATTAAATTTAGACCTAGGCAAAATATGAACTGCAATAGATGAAGTGTAGTATGTATGAACTTTGACTATGCTTGCTTTAAACAAAGACAACAGGTATGAGCTAATTTGTTTTGGGGTTTTTTTACAGGCTGATAATAGGATTACGTCTTTAAACTCCGGACTGAGCTATCCCATCTCCCCTTTGCTAGCTTTCCAAAGCTTCCCAGAAGCAGCTGCTGTCAAAAATGCCAACCAACAGATACCGGGAACAAAGGCAAGGAATTTAAGATGTTTATTTTTTAACAAGGTTTCATTACATTGTATCAAGTCATGTCATTTTCATTTTATTGATTTTTGCCCAAAACAAAATCCTTCTTCTCTTCTTCTGCTACTCTGGGTGTCTATCATCTGTGGGGGAAAGCATAACAATTAGGGATGAGTAATGGAAAAAAAAATCCTAAAGGCTCCATATGTAATTCAGAGTTTGTCATCCGGTTCCTTAAGTATGGACCTGAATGGCCAGAATAATCTAGTTAATATGCAAACAGTTAACTCATAAAGCTGCAACTTATACTTTTGTATTTTTTTTAGATTATTTATATCGCCAACCTCTCAAAATAATTCAGGCCAGCATACAGATAAAAAATCCACAAAAGTCAACAATAAAATATAATAGAACAGATAAAAGAAATTCTACCAAAGAATCCAAGTGCCTGGAAAAAAAAGCCAAGAGTTTAAGGCTTTAGAAAAAGGCAGAGTGGGGTCATCTGTATTTATTCCAACTGCTTAAAACACTATTAGCAAAATAATTGTGCAAGTACATAGATGCTAAGAGAAAACCATTCATTTTTCTAACAGCTAATATCATTGTCATGCAAAAGACAAACAGGTTCCACGAGTGAACCATATGGATAGTATTATTGCTGTAATTTACTGTAAATCAGTTGTCAGTGATGATGTCAGACAATTTATTATTAGTGCTCTTCGAGAAAGCTAATTCTGCTTTAAATAAATGTTTTGACAATTTATAGTATTCAATCATTAAACATTTCTGTAATAATATGTATATTTTTTCTTACATGTAATATTGTATGACTAAGACTTTGATACACAAAATGGCAAAAAATATAATACTGAAAAAAATTATTTTTCCAGCAGGTTCACTTCAATGTCCAGCTCTCAGAAACAAACAGATGTTCAGATGCCCAGCCAGGGATTTCTGGGCTGATAGGTCATTCAGCAAACAAAGAAAAGTAAGCAGTTGAGAGTGGACCTGAGGAGAAAACTGGGAGCATTTAAAGAGAAGGTGGAAAGGCCATTTGGAGTTGAATAGGAAGGCAAACTTGGCAATTGGGAGGAAGCAGAACTATCTGGGGTAGAGGCCAAAGGGCTGAAGGAACGTGTAGAGTAAAAGCAACAGTGTCACTTCTAGAGGTAGTCAGTTTTCTAAATGGAAGAAAACCATTATTTCTGCCAATGGCACTATATCAGAATTTCTCTTTTCTCAGTACTAAGATGGTGTGGGAGCACCAGAGAATTCAGTGTGGGAGGTCTAATAGGAAATGAAATACAATTAATGTAAGCCATATTCTGTCATGTTCTAACGAGAGCAATGTATTTACCTATATCGGGGTGAGGCAACCTTGGCTCTTTTATGACTCGTGGACTTCAACTCCCAGAATTCCTGAGCCAGCCAGGAATTCCTGAGCTGGCTCAGGAATTCTGGGAGTTGAAGTCCACGAGTCATAAAAGAGCCAAGGTTGCCTACCCCTGACCTATATATTCACTCTGAAGTCATATGAAAATAATGACTTCTAGTAAAGGCTTACTTATGAATGTAATTGCCACCTGAGTAAACTGTTGCTATTGATGTAGAAAGGATAGATGGTGATTGATGAACAGGTAGAATAGTTAATCTGCTTCTAAAAGGATGAACATTTTCAATTCCAGAGGTGAGGCCCTTGACCTGACTTGAGTGCAAAAACAGGTTTTCTCATTACCTTTTGGAAAGAGGCATTGCTTTAACATTTTTTCTTCTTTCCACCATCCCCCCTCTAGACATAGCCTTTAAGTATTTAAGTTATTCCTCTAATAAGGAATGAACTATGAAGTTATATATATATATATCTGAAAGAAAATTAACATTAAATTGACATATTATTCCCCCCATAGTACAGAAAAAAACCCTAATGTTCTTTTTTTTTCTTTTGAAGAATAGCTTGGGGAGTGTGCAAGGAAATATTAGTATGTCTTCAGGCAAACAGAATATATCCTGATGAATTTTAATAGTGATTCAGGTTATTGCCCACAGTAATACTTTTTTTGGGGAAAAATTAGGTCAGTGAAGAAACATCTAAAAGCAAATACGTGAATTGTTCCAGGGGCTAGATCATTTTTTCATTTTCCCAGAGTCTAAGCAGAATGCCATCACTTCATGGAACATGGCTTCTTATAACAAAGATGCCATAGGAACAATTATAAAATATACCTAAGATTCTTCATCTGTCTGACTGGATCTCTTAAAGTTTGTCAGTGCACTGTATATCAGTGCTGTGATCAGTCATATGCCACTCTCCACCTTCTTTGTATGATGTTTCAAAAAGATGATGATATTTAAGTATGATAGAGGCCTTACAAGATGAGATGGTCTGTTTGATAGTAGCAGAAAAACCAGGTTTCCAGAGACAAGCTCTTAAGGAATTAATATAACCACATTAAACTTAAGGAATTAAGCCTTGAATATAGGAATTTCTGTCCCCAGGATATGATTTTGAGGTCAGCATTCATGAACTTGCTGTCTTAAATAAAGTAATTCATAGGAGATCTGCAATTGCATTTGAAATTCTTGCAAATTTTCATGGAAACTTAGAAAACTCTTTTAAAAATGACTGCTTACAACAGTTCTATTTCCCTTTGACTTAGTGGTGAAAATGTGGGATTGGAAACAAAGTATTTAAAGAAAAGGGAAGATAGCATACCTTTAAGAGGGCTCAATCAAAACACAACTCAAAACACAGGTAAATGTGTATACATATATAAATATATACTTATATGTAATTAAAATCAAAGAATTTTCTCAAAATTTCTGAAAACTTAAAAGATATTTCAAGATCAATTCTTATCATTGCAGGATACATGAAGTCCTCTGCACCAAAAAAAGTGCAGATTCCATGCAAGCCTGCAGCACCTTCTAAAACTTCTGCCTACTTTCCTGGATAGCACGTTGTAATTAAAGGTTTATAACATTTTTTTTAAACAATTAGCATTTACATGCATTCGTTTCCCTTTTGAAATATCAACATCAAGTATCAACATCAACATTAAATAGATTTCTGGGTACTAAAGTGAACTAGTTCTAAGATGCTTAAATTACTATGTTTTTCTATAATACGAAGTGAATATTTGTCTAATGGATAGACGTCTAGACTCCTAATTAGTTCTTCTCTAATAGTCCGTTTACATTTTTGCATATGCAAGGTATTTGTTTTCAGTTTCAAGT